TAGCTATAGACTAGAAGCCTCCAAATATCCCAAAGACAAAGATGAATCAGTAAATGGTAGTTGATTCAGAGACTAGAAAAGCAATCAATTTTTTAAAAAGCAAGGAAACAACAAAAAGTTATGCCAGGTGGTGATGGCATACACCTTTAGACCCAGCGCTCTGAGGGAGGGGTGGGTGTGTCACTGTGAGTTTGAGGCCAGCCTGGTCTACAGAGAGAGTTCCAGGACAGTCAGGGTTACACAGAGAAATGCTGTCTCGAAAAACCAAAAAGAAAAAAGATAAGCAGTAGGGTGTGGTGATCCATGCTGCAATCCAAGCACATGGGGACTAGTATGTGTGTCCAGACTTTCTCAAAACAATAACAACAAAAGAATGAGCTGCTAATCACTTCATCTGAGCTAAAAACACAGACACAAGAACTTTCTGAAATGATGGAGGTTGTAAGTCATGGGATCCCTGGGGGAACTAACCTTCACACTTGTGTATTCTTACTATAATGAAGTCTTGAATGGGCTGGCTGACTCAGATGATGGTGGGGCCATGGGATTGTGGCACAGCCTTGTGCAGGTTTCTGGAGTTTTTGTTTGTTTTGTTTATTTTTCCTGGGGATGGAACCCAGGTATATGCTGCTTACAGAAGGACCAAGAAGAAACACCATAGCTGAAAAGAAGGGGCAATAGCTGACAGGCAAACAGGGATGTCAGCACTAGATAGCTTCCGTGGAGCTGAGGCAGGACTCAAGGCACTAACAAGTTCAGCTCGCCCCGGTCATGTGTGTCTCTGCCCCATGCACCCTCTGCAATACAGGCATTTCCTCCTGGGGTAGTGCCCTGCCCTAATGGGCAGAGAATTGGAAGTGGTCCTAGCTCAGGGGCAAGCTCAAGTTGGCTTACACCTGCAGCAGGTGCCACCTCCTAACTACCTCCCTCAATTCTTAGTCCTCATCACAGGGGGCATCGTGGCCACTGCTGGGCGCTTCACACAGTGGTACTTTGGTGCCTACTCTATGTATCCTTTTACTGGGGACCAGGAAGGTGTGGTGATGCAACTGCTTCCAGGACTAGCACTTCACAGTTGTAGAGTGCTACACATAACCTGTTTGGCCACAGCCTCAGGAAGCAGGACCAGCTCTGGCTGCAGTTTTAGAAGCTAAGGCCCAGGGAGTTACTTGCCAAAGGCCACAGAGTCGGCTCAGGCAAACATGTAGCTGAGGCCCATGATCCCAAGGCTTGGACTGGAGTCCACTGTCTTCTTCTACCTTGCTGGACAATGGACTCTGGCCAGAACTGAGAACAGATGAGGTGGGAGAGCGGGTTTGGGCCAGTGGCTTTGCCTCCATTTACCTATCAGCAGAAGTGCACACTGGCTTAGGCCAAGTGTGGCTTTCCTTAACCCCATCATAGCGCTGCAGGTGTGCTCATCTGTCTGCTGGAGTACCCCCGGGGAAAGAGGAAAAAGGGCTCCACCATGGAGCGATGGTAAGTCATTCCCACCTGAGTGACCTGGAACTGGCTTGTTGGGAGCTTCCAGCCCAAGGCCTGCCCAGCTGTTGGGCCCATGTGACCAGGGAAAGGACCTAGGACCCTGAAAGGGGATGGATAAGGGAGTCCTGAATGTGACTGGTGCTGACCTCCTGACCTTCTGTCTTCCCTCTACATCTAGTGGACAGAAGTACTTGACTACTGTGGTGAAGCTGTTTGGGCCCCTGACGAGAAATTACTATGTCCGGGCTGTCCTCCACTTCTTGTGAGTCCCGCTGACAATGCCCTGGGTAACAGGAGACTAGAAGGAGACACCCCGTGGGTCTGTAGCCTGGACAGGAGTTTAGGGATTAGCCAAGCCTCTTCTTCATTGATGTTTGTCCAGACAGAAAATCCCAGCTTTTAGAGAGGGCAGAAGGTCCTAGACCTGAATCTGCCATCTGTTCTGAGGTGCACACTGAACCTAGCAGTCAAGCTACAGTTGCAATGCTGGGTGGGTCTCCATGGGTCTGTTACACCTGTTGTTGTTCTTGGTCCTTGCTAAGCCTGGACTGGGACACACCCCAGCTCAAGCCTTTTCCCCAACAAGGTAGCTGGGGCTTGAATCAAAGGACACATTACTGTAGAGAACAGTTTATACCAAACCTAAAATGGACCTAGGCAGAGCTGGCCGCTGCTCATTCTAGGGTCCTGGGGACAGAATCTCCCGTTGAGAGCTTGTGGCCTAGAGCTCAAGAGCCCTTCTAACTGTTGTCCATTTGCTTCCTCCTGTTACCCTCAAGGCTGTCAGTGCCTGCAGGCTTCCTTCTGGCCACTATCCTGGGAACAGTTTGCTTGGTCATTGCCAGTGTGATCTACCTTCTGGTAAGTGGCTGCCCTCTGTACAAGCCTCCCCCATCCCCCGCCCCCATGTTCTTGGTGCTCTGGGCCCTCATGACAGCTTCCTTGCTCACTTCAGCTTTGGTTAGTGCACGTCTGGTATATACTGGACACTTCCCAGTTGAAGCTGCATTGTAGCTCTGTCAGGCAGGTGGCTAAAGAGACAGACTCAGAGAGGCAGTGAGGCTGGCCCAGGTCCAACCTCAGTGTGGGCCCATTGCTCATCAAAGCCTACCTGAGTTTGGGGAGCTCATGACACAGAAGCATCTGTCTTATCTGTCTGTCTATCATCTACCTACATACCTATCTATTTGTTTATTTTGAGAAGAAGAGAGGGTCTCCTGTAATCCAGACTGGCCTCAGACTTGCTATGTAGTTGAAGATGACCTTGAACTCCTGGTCCTTTTGCTTCCACCTCTGTTTTTTTTTTTTTTTTTTTTTTTTTTTTTTTTTTTTTTTTTAGAGTCTGTCCTGGAACTCACTTTGTACATCAGGCTGGCCTCAAACTCACAGAGATCTGACTACTTCTGCCTCTGTCTCTGCCTCCTAAGCACTGGAATTAAAGGCGTGAGCCACCACCATCCGGCTATTGCTTCCACCTCTTAATCTTAATGCTGAATGGCAGGTAGAAGCTACTTCATCTAGCTTAGTTTGTGTTCATTAAAAGTCTCCCCCACCACCAGCACACACACTTTCTGAGGTACTATGGATGTCTTTCTGATTCTCTCCTGCCAGCTCCATTCTTATCTTCTGTATAGAATGTTCTAGCTTATTAGTTAGAAGATGTAGCCTCAGGTGTTTAAAGGTATAGCCACAGGTATTTGAAGGTGTCAGTGTGCTGCAGAGTTTCTATCTCTCAAGCATTGTGGGCTACTAAATTTATTTATGGCTTTTGTTTTTGTTTTACTTTTTAAAATATTTATTTATTTAGTGTACGATGTTCGGCACCAAATCTCATTACAGATGGTTGTGAGCCACTATGTGGTTGCTGGGAATTGAACTCAGGACCTTTGGAAGAGCAGGCAGTGCTCTTAACCACTGAGCCATCTCTCCAGCCCCTTGTTTTACTTTTTGAGACAGTATTTCTTTGCATAGCCCTGGCTGACCTGGAACTTGCTCTGTAGACCAGGCTGGCCTCTGACTCAGAGAGATCCTCCTGCCTTTACCTCCAGAATACTAGGATTAAAGGTGTGCGCTGCCACCACCGCCACCACCACCCTGTGGGATACTAAATTTACTTGCAATTCCCAGATACCCTAAGTCAGCTGCTGTGGAAGTGCATGTGGCAGGAGGCTAGCAGCACTGTTCCCAGCTTGCATTTTTAGCACCCAGCCCTACACGCTTCCTACAGAATGCTTGACATCCTTGGGGAGGCCTTGTCGAAGGTGGGTGTCTCTTGGAGGGGATTATAGAGTCTGTATCTGGAAGTGTTTCTGGGAGTGTTATAGAAGCCCGGTGGCTCCATGCTCCCTCCACTGCAGGGCCCTCCTGGCATAGCCACATAGCTTCGGTTTGATGTCAGGCAGCCCCAGATCCTGACTGTGTGGCCTTGGGCCAGTCAATTAATGTAAGCCATTGCCATCCTGCTTAGGGATTAAGACCTATGTCCACCTGGAGTCCCCCGTGACAGTAAGCAGCTTGAAGCATAACACAGTCCCTCTCTGCCCCTCAGGCAGCCATCCGGGGTGAGCAGTGGACCCCCATTGAGCCCAAACCCAAGGAGCGGCCACAGGTTGGAGGCACCATCAAGCAGCCACCTACCAATCCCCCACCCCGGCCACCAGTGGAGGCCCGCAAGAAGCCAAGTGTGGATGAAGAGGAGGCAGCCTCAGCTGGAGGCCCCCAGGTCAACCCAATTCCAGTAACAGATGAGGTTGTGTGACCTTCAGTTGCTGTCTGCAGCTCCTGCTTAAGTTTTCCTTGAGTCGCCACCAGGGGGTGGTGATGCCCATTGTAATAAAAAGTGAATAGCTGGTGTGGAGAGTGGTTCTTCCTGTGAGGCTGGGGGAGGGGCTGTGACATGCACCCCATTCTGTGTGGTGACCTGAAGGCCAGTCAGGGAAGGCCTGACAACTGTCCAATGGACCCTGGGTGGACTTATGCTTACAAGTGGGACCCTGAGCCTAGTCCAGGTCTTCCAATAGTGGAAGCCATTGGCTCCCAGTCCCCTGCAAAGGCACCCAATGGGTCTGGAGTACAGGCTGCTATCCTGGTGGCTCCTGGCCCTAGGCTGCAGTCTAGATCTCCAGTTTGGCCTCACAGCCCTGGGTCTGGCTGGGCCATGCTGGGAAGTTTTGTTGTGGCAATGATTGCTTGCCTGTCTTGATGCAGAGGAGTGTTCCTGGGGGTTAACTTCAGGCAGAGATGGTGTCCCCAAGTGGCCAAAGTAATATTGAAGAGTGGAGAGCATAATGTGACCGTGAGGAGCCTATTCTCTGCCTAGGGCAGGAGCTGCCCCTGTAGGAAGATGAAGACGCAGGCCTAATGGCTGTGCATGTCCTGTTGAAGCCCCTCCGCACCCCAGAAGTACTCTCTCAACACGCACACCTTAGGAAAGAAATCTGGGACTTTAGTAGCCTCTGAGCACCCACTGGGTGGACAGGGCTAGGAGGGAAAGAAAGAAGACTTGCAGGAATAAATAAAGAGTTGAACTATGTCCATTTAATAACACTTAAAATAAATAATTGTTTAAAAACATGTGGATGGGTTGCATCAGGCAGAACCAGGGCTCTGGGGTGACACAGAGCCAGCCCTTCATCTCCCCACCTGTCACTGCTGCTAGAGGTTCAAGGAGAGGAAGCCAGTTCCTTCAGGCCCACCCCACCCTCTCTTTTGAGACACTTACTATGTAGACCATGCTGTCTGAGAACTTGAGGCACCCTTCCAGCCTCTGTGGAGGGCAGGGTTTTATACCCAGGTGTGCTTTATACCATGCCCAGCTCTCCCCTTTGGTAACAGAGTAAGCTAACTCTCGAGAGTCACTGGGAGTGATCCAGTCATGAGGATGCCTGACCTCCCCAGTCCTGAGATCAGCCTGCATCTGGGCACTGGTCAGAGATCACGGGGCCAGGGCTGGGTATAGCCTCTGCTGCACTCTTGAGTCAATAAATAAGCAATAAATACACATAAATAAGAGGTCTTCTCTGTGGGGATGCCTGGGATGTCCAGTCTGGAAGGAGCCTGGTGCATCATGGTGGGGCCATGACAGAAGTCATCACTGTGCAGACCTGGGAAGAACACAGGTGCAACCAACAGGCACTCGGATGAACTCAGTGTGGAAGGTGAAGGATCCTGGTGTAGGGTCTGCTGTACCATCTTGGGAGCAGGGCTGTCGCCGCAGTACCAGCAGGCTCTGCAGCAGCTGCACAGAGTTCAGGGCTGCTGTCTCACGGCCTGTCTTGGCATTAATGCAGCCACGACACAAGCATTCTGCCACCGCCAACTTCTGTGGGTATCGGTTCTTGTCTGTGTCGATGCTGTGGGGACAGGAGCAGTGAGAATACTCACTCTGGCCCTATCTAGAACTAATCTGAGCTTTCACAAGGAGCACGGTGGACACAGCATCCCTTCTCCCCTGCCTTGTAGCTCTACCCTCTTGTGGCTGCACCACTCACTCTGGAATGGGCAATCTGAGAGTTCAGGATTCAAACGCCACAGACAGAAGGCTGGCATTCAGTTGGTACTCAATAAATGATGCTACCTACATTTAACCTATGCCCTCTGAAAACACAGAAGCAGGGGCTTTATGGAGGCCCTGGTATCACTTGGCTCAAGATACAGCTTCTCAGGGAAGGAATGTTTTTTAGAGGTTAGGTGTGTGAGGCCCTAAGTGGGAATAAAGCCACCAATGGGGACCCCATGAACCTCACCGATATTTCCATGGTGAGATGGAGCGCTGGTGGGTGTCAGCTTCCAACACCTCCTCTGGCCGCAGCACGGGGCACTGTGTTCCAGCTTGAGGTCTTTCATGCTGTCTCCTGTGGCCGGTGGCCTCCAAAGTGGACACCAGGGCCACAGGGAGGGCCTGCTCCCACCTGGCACTTCGAGTTAGCAGGTGTGGGGGAGCCTGGCCATGAGACAGTTCCTCAGCAGAGTAGCACCTCAGGGTCCCATGGCTTCGGGCTTTACCTTGGAACTGGAGATCTTGGTGGGTCATCCCAGTAGGCAACCAGGCTAAAAGCAGGAGACACTGGGGAACAGACAGGTGTATGGTTAGGGGTAGCCCAGAGAACACCCAATTTCCTTCAAAGCTTGCCAGTTCTCACTGGAAAGATGGGGGTTAGACTTCCTTCTGTAGACAGGGAAATAGGTTTAGCCTAAACGCATCCCAATGCACCTAAGCTCAGAGAGAAGGCCCCAACATCCACCCTGCTGGCTTAGGCTGTCATTATGAGGCTGGGAAATATGCCAGGCTCACCATCACAGTGGCAATGACAGTGGCCATGGCAGCAGACATGGAGTGGCCTCACCCCTGGCGATGGTCCCACTGCTGCACCTGGTGGAGACTGGCTGTGTGCTTCTTTATACCTGGGGCCACACCTGGGGAAAATCCAGCACTGCTTCCTCCTCTGGGTCTGTCCCTTTGCATCACGGAGTTATCCCGGTAGGTCCCGAGCTCAGCTTCTGGGCCCTGTTCTGCCACACCCTCCCTGTCACAGAAACTTAGGAGCCCCTTTGAGGCAACCTCTCTACCCAAGGGGACCATACCCAGTGGAATGCCCATGAAAAGCCAGGGACCCTGATTGGTGGGTGGAACATTCTGGAACTAGAAACTAGGAGTTTCAATCGAGCTGCTCTTGGCAGCTTGCTGCTTTGATTTGTGCCACTTTTGCTATTTGAGTTCACTGACTCCACTGTTGGCACTGGGGTCTTATAAGACTTCCTGCCATGGGTCCATGAGATCCAGTCTCTGGACCTGTGGATAGACATTGAGGTTGCTTCTTGCCTAAGGTGGTCATCATGTACACCTCCCCTGTGGAGGCAGGAGAGATGGTAGCTAGGGAATGTCCTTAGGTTTTAGTGAGTTTAAAACTACAGGTTTTTAATTGCTATTTTTTTTTTTTTTTTGGTTTTTTGAGACAGAGTTTCTCTGTGTAGCTTTGGAGCCTATCCTGGCACTCACTCTGGAGACCAGGCTGGCCTCGAACTCACAGAGATCCTCCTGCCTCTGCCTCCTGAGTGCTGGGATTAAAGGCGATCGCCACCAACGCCCGGCTTTGTTAAAAACTTTTATGTGGATGAGTGTTTTGTCTGCATGTGTGCCTGGTGCCCATGGAGGCCAGAAGAGGGCCTTGGATCACCTGGAAATGGAGTTATATACGGCTGGTTGTAAGCCACCATGTGGATGCTGGGAACAGAACCTGGGTTTCCTTCAAGATTAGCCAGTGCTTTTAACCGCTGAGTCTTCTCTCCAGCCCCTCTCCTACAGTTCACCCATGGTAAAAATCCTGGGGCAGGGAAGGTAAGCCTAACGGAAATGAGTACAGTTATTGCAGAAAGCTTGTCTGAGCCTGGAACCACTGAAGTGCCCCCTTCCCCACTGAATCCCATATAACACAGCTCGCTAGGGTGGGCTGGGAACTGTGGGTGCTTTTATCTGAAAAGAGAATGCCTAAGGTTTGAATGTCATCCTTGGGGTTCTGGCCACCTCCAAAGCAGAGGGGCCTGTCCTGGTTTTTGCGAGAGTCTAGAATGTCCTTCTGTGGGCAGGGCCAGGGAGTGTAGCCACAGATCCTTCTTCAGCCTCCACACTTAGAAGCAGCATCAATCTGAGGACAGGGACTGTGGTGTGGCCTCTGCTGTGGCTCAGCCCTGGAGCTGGGCAGCACATCAGGATGCCCTGTGAGTGACAACCCAAAGGGATGAAGGGACAGCTCTGCTCAGAGACTTAAGGGCCTCTATGAGGGCAGTGTCATGCTGCCAGCTGGTTGGGGTCAGTTGAGACATTAGAGGCTGACTGTTGCTGTCACCAGATTTGCGGAGCACTAGGCCGGCTGGCCTGTTCCCAGGGCCTCTCAGAATCTGGTATGGACACTCCCAGCCCCTCACCTCACATATGACAATGGCAGAAGGCTAAGCACCCTAAGGAAACCCCTTCTGAAATGTCTTTAAGGAGCCTAAGGCTGGGATTGAGATGTTTTGGGCAAAGCCCAGCTGTAACCCCTCCCTCACCTGACCTGCTGACCTCCAGTTTCTCCCTGGCACATCATATGCCCAGCAACAAGCACAGAAACACCCACATGTCAGCTGTAGCTGCAGGGCTCCAGGTCCTTGAAGAAGATCCTGGTGGACATGGGTGGGGTTTCCCGGGCCACGATTATGCTGCCTAACCAATGGGCACCTTGACATGATTCCCATGGCCTTTCTGCATTGTGAGTCTGTGAGTCACAAGACACAGGTGGGAAGGAGGTAGATTTAAGGTGAAGGGAGAGCTGGGCCAGCTACATCCTGGAAGAGAGGGCTGGGTCAGTAGATTCCAGCCTCTACCTGGGTTGGAGTCTTCTGTATACAATCTGCCTAACAGCACACAGTGTCCTGGGAAGAGCAGCAGAAGGAAAGCTAGGAAAGACAAGCCAGGATGTGTGTGTGTGTGTGTGTGTGTGTGTGTGAGAGAGAGAGAGACAGAGAGAGAGAGAGAGAGAGAGAGAGAGAGAG